TCTAGGGTGGTTGCCGCAAGTATCAAGCATCTAATTGAGCAACAGCCTGACCTGAAGGTGAAAGCCATCATCGCCGAAATTTCTAGTCGTTACGGAGATATTATTAACAATAAAAAGGCGTGGCATGGAAAGCGAAAACCAATGGCTGCTGTGTTTGGTGACTAGGAAGAATCATATGCATTCCTTCCCAGATTGATTTGGGCATTGGAGGCGTCTAACCCTGGCATTGTTTTCTCCCCCCCCCCCCCCCACGCGCGCTACCAAGATGAATAAATTCACCCGCCAGAGCCGGTAACAAACGCCATTTCAAACATATTTTCTGGTCATTCAAGCCATATATTGATGGTTTTCCCTTTTGTGTCCATGTGATGCAAGTCGATGAACATTCCTTACCGACAAGTACAAGGGAACTCTACTCATTGCCAGCGGAGCAGATGCAAACGGAGGTGTCTTACCTCTAGCCTTTGCCATAGTTGCTGGAGAGAATATCGAAAGCTACGGATGGTTCTTCCGACAAATTCAAATCGACATCACTAGGACGAACCTAAAAATCATCTCTGATAGCCATGTCGGGATCAGGGCTTTCAGCTTAGGCTTGGATCCAACCTGGAAGCGGTCACAGAGATGGTGCATACGACACTTCAAGAGCAATTGGAACCATCATTTCAAGTGGAGGAAGCTTGCTGATAGCCAATGGTGGACCGATATGCGTTCTATTTCATTGGTGAATTATTTAGACTTTTTATAAAGATATGCATGCCTAAGGAAATGGGGTCTTAAGCGATCATCATGGTCCTCCCATTACCTGGAAAAATTGGGTTCTAAGCGATACTCGGATCCCCCCTTTTTCTGTCAAAAAGGTTGTGTTTCTAAGGAGATGTATACATATCCTAAAAGTCTAACGGGTCTACTTGTATTGCTAAAATTTATTCAAAACAACCAATACGAATATCAGTTGTGCCTTCACTTTTGTTTGTATATTCATTAGTTGTTGCCTACCAAGAGAAGAAATTCAAGGAGACGATGCAGAAGATCCGTGAGCTATGCCCTGCAGGTGCGCAGTGGCTGGACCAACATGACCTAACCATGTGGACTTTTCATAAGGACGGAGGTACCAGTTGGGGTATTGCCACAACGAACTCAAGTGAGAGTGTCAACAACGTCTACAAGGGTGTTCGTGCACTGCCAAATTCTGCCATTGTTGAGATGACATACCGGAAAATGAACCAATGGTTCGTCAATCGACTCCACTAATATGCGAAGAGGGAGGCACAGGGTAAGGTACACTCCGATAAAGCCTCAGAAATAATGGAAAAATACAATCGGAAGAGCTCTCGGCACACTCTGACCATTATGAATCAAAATGCCGGGGAGTATTCAGTCGAGACCGGGCACTGGGAAGATGAGAGACGTGTGGGTCATCGTCATGAATTCAAGGTAAACTTCCAAACAAAAAACGGGGAGTGCTCTTGCCAGAAGTATCAAGGGAAATGTTTGCCTTGTTCTCGTGCAATCGCTGTAATCAAGCACGGGAGCAAAGACCTTTGTCACTTTGTCAGTGTATAAAGGAAAGGTCATTATCCCACCAATCAGACTAAGGCGTGAAACAGGTCGGTCGTGAGTAAAGAGGATTCCAAACGAAATGGATCAAAGTGGAAGACCACCGCGAGGGCCTAGGCGGTGTTCCATTTGCAAAGTTCCAGGGCATGACAAACGAAAAATGTCCTGAACCAATCGGTCCTCAAAACCCAGGGCCCGACGTCGTGAACCCGGATAACGGCGCATGAATTTTGTTTTGGTTCGCAATTTGTTTTCATTTTTGTGGTTTGCATTAGTCCAACTTGTTTAGCTAACACGCCATTACAAGTAAACACACCACAGAAATCAACACACCACTCAAATAAAACATAGCTTGACCGCGTAGAGACGCTGACCGTTGAGCTGGCGCGCGGTCTACTGTCGGATCGCACTCTCATCCGACGGTTTGCGGGACTGCCACGTGCCACTGCGGTTTGTTGGATGCCCGAAGCAAAACTGCACTTTCCCCGTACGTTTCTCCTTTGAACCGCCGCTTCCCCATGCGGTTTTGGTTCAATGGTGGTAGATTTGGAATTTTTTTGGTTTAGGTGATATGTTTGTAATTTTTTTAAACAATGGTACATTTGTATTTTTTTCCCCGATTATTAAGTATTATCTAAAAATATCCAAATACTCCCCATTGCCCCAACCCATAAACATAAAGACATAAATCCATTCAATAATCCGCAAGACCACATATGCTAAAATTCTTGTTTTTATCATCCCTCCCCGCTTCAGAACAACCTTGGCCTCAAGGTTAACCCGATTCTTCCTTGTTTTTTCGTCCTCCATGGATGCCCATTCCTCTGTCTCATCCTCCCAACGTCCCACAAGCATTGCTTTGGTTCATGATGTGACAATGTTTGAAGGTAGACCAATGCAAACAAGAGTACAACTCCAGAGCTATTCTGAACATTAGGTAATTGGGGCATTAATTGATAATGATTTGGGACCGCTCCGACAAGTACTGAATTTGGAACATGTCTTATCTTATTAATATTGGTTTGAGATTTTTTGAAAGAGTATTTAATTTTGCATGTTAAACTCCCCAATTTTTGAAAATGGAAACTTCGAATTGGAATATGAAGATTTTGGATTAAGCTTGGTTTCCTAATGTCCTTATGGGTGTTTATTTCTCTAAAATGCAGTTGTATTTCAAAGTAACCCATCGCAAACCGCAGGTCATGATACAACGATGGTACCCGTATACGTTTATATCATTGGTAGGAAGCAGATTGTATCCGTTCTACTATATCGTTTAGTTAAATGCTCAGTTGTTTTTTTTTCGACTAAAAGTTAATGTTGCAATTAACCTGATAAATGTTTTTTTATTAACTGTTAATGATCGTAAGTTATGGTTTAATGACGAGAAGTCCATTTATTTAGAAGTAGTCTAATGCTTGACTTCCATTTTGAAATTCGAATTGGACAAACGTGCTGGAAAAATGTCATGTCATACTTTAGCAGGAGCGGAGGGAGAGGGTAATAGGGTGGGTCATGGACCCACTCTAGTTTGGGAGGAAAATGGTTAAATTAGGTATAATACTTAATTGATACTAAAAATCAGGGCGTGTCTTGTTGATAATAGTTGATCGAAAGGTCTTGTGTTCGAATCTTGAAAGCCTCATTTGTCAAACACATGGTATTCATATTTGTGCAAACTTCAATTCCATATAAGTTGGCTTTTTTTGGGGGTGGGGGGGTCTTACTATATGGTATAAAATATATATTGGACCTCACCCAACAACTCGATTTATTGACAAAGAACACAATTCGAAAGCGAACTATTAACTAAATTACGAATAATTGTTTTTTGCAAGATTCATTATTAAACCTTTATCAACTACTCAAGTTATTGATGCTAAACAGTTCTTGATAAATAACACTATTCGAAAATGAACGACTAAGTAAATTATGAATAATTGTTTGATACAAAGAGAATGATATTCTTGATAGTTTTGATTATTCATAAATTTTAATTTATCAAAAAAATTCAGGAAATAGAAATAAATTTAATAAAAATTATTTTATCATGCGTATATTTTTTATGGGAACCCACCCACGAAATCCTGATTACGCCCCTGTACATTAGTGTCGCATGAGGGTTGGTTGATATCTCAGGGTTTTGAATTTTCTAGAGGGTTGTTTATTGTAACACAGAGTTCCTAAAGCTAGCAAGGTATTCCTATGGAGACTTTTCCGTTGTTTGACTGTTTCTCGCCTTAGTCTATAGTATTTTCACTTCAATATAACTGATATTAGATAATAAAAAAAATTAGATAAACTCAATGAATTTTATACTTCAAACACATATTTTATTTGATATAAAAAATATAATTATAAAAAAATTAAATAAATATGAAATATTCAAAAATCAAAATAATTTAAATATGATTTTTAAATCATTAATAAAAAATTATCCGGCCAATTGGCCGGAAGCAAAGCTAGTTACTACTAAGCTTTTCCAATAGGTGCCTAAGAAGTAAGAACAAATTGGTACTAACTTGACTAAAAACGAATGGTCTCGATACTCAGTTGTTTTGGCAGCTGTTGGTATTTGAAGGAGTTCTACATCAACTTAGTGTGAAGACGTCTTATGATCAAGTCACACTCCCATTTGGGGAAAATATGGTGCTAACAACAAATGTGACACGCACTAGGTGCTAAAGAGCCTAGACAAACATTTATGGTAGAAACTAGGAACCCAAGGCAAAAGCTGTACCTCTAAATGCACAGCAAGGTTGTCAACCCGCGGGTTGACCAACAGGTCGACCCAATTTGACCCTGATCCGGTGAGAAAAACGGGCCGCACGCACCCGCCGGGCCGACTGCTATTAGGTACTGGGTTGGAGGTCAAATTGTGTCATTTTTTCTTTAGTTTGCGCAATGCGCCTATTCTCCAATTTTTCTTTTCGCCTAACTCAATCTTTGGAATACTAAGTTCAGCATTTGAATATTTATGTTATATAAGTGTGTGAATTTTCACTATATGTTGGATCTAAGTACGATATGTTATTTTGGTTTAATATTATATGTTATAACTCATATGTTAGATAAGATTTGATATAATTTATGAGGATAAGTGCAATATAATGACTCTTTTTATATTTCCGGGCCAAACCGAACTAAAATGGTTGACCCATTAACCCTTGACCCACTAACTCGATCGGGTCCTGGTCAACCCGCGGGTTGACAACTTTGATGCACAGCTTCATTTGGTGCGGCGCATCTGTAGAGGTCAAACACATGGCCGGGAGATGGGATTTGCGTAGAGGGTTGGCACTATTAAACCTTATTTCACCCACTAATGACTATTTGCTACCCGCGTTCCTAAAACAATGATCACTGAAGTAGGGTACTCGAGCGAGGGATTTCGGTTAGAAACCAGTTCACGGCTAAAGCCTTATACTCAGAAAACCCTGATTAAAGCAGCACAAAGACACCAGAAATCACTGTCAGCATGCTTTTACAAAATGCTGAACAAGGCAAAAAACAGAAACACTGAAGTTACGGCAGGTGACAATAAAGTAAATACAAGCTTTTTGATAATTGACCAAACAAATATCCTGTGTCATAGGTCTGTAACTATTCTTCCATACCAACTGCAATCGCATTTGGAATATTTAAATGTTCGAAGCAGAGGATCCGAATCAAGATATATGAAATGTGAAATGCTAGTTGCCAGTAGCTGATCTTATTGATGGGCAAACCCTGGAACTCCCTACCAGCTACACAGCCAAGATCCACAGTTATGTTGATGATCTGCATTCAAAATACATATGCTTGAGAGAATAATAACAGGTCTAACCCATATTGCTAACAGAAACTTAGACCAAGTCATCTTGATACCAGAGTCATCCTTCCTCGGCACAAAGGATAGAAACAAGAACAGTAAGAGTAAATTGCAAGTCAAAAGAATGACAGGGACAAAATTTTGAAGGGAGGAAAATCATGCCAATGGGAATCTAGAGTCCTAAGAGAAATTCCATGATAACTTGTGTGATAGTATATTTAACAAAGAGAGTCCTATAGATTTCATGCATGTATTATCTCAACACAACATAGCTACTGCTGAGTGCTAAGGAAAAGGAGACTGAAATAAGCTAAGACAAGATAGAACTGTGCTCATTGAGTCACTTAAAGCTGGAAGGGTCTTCCACTATAACCACGAGATGACAAGGCCTCACTTTAATGAATGACAACGTCCATCAAGCAAATCCAGTCTTCCCACATTTCACAGGATGCGTCCTCAATCAGGACTAACTTACGTTGATCAATAGTATTCTTTATTTGGTGATACCTATGTTAATAATATTAATTGGATATGCAAGGGTTTGATGAAGGTTAGACACAACAGCACATTAGACAGTGCTGTGGTTAAAGGCCATGCCCGCATAAATGCCAAATCAGAATCTAATAGGGTGAATTGGCATCAAAGTCTATACCTGGCAACCAAGACTAACAAATTGGCAGCTCAAAACTTTCAAAACAAGAAACTAGCCATGGCGAAGAGCATACATTAGATTCCTTATTTGTATTTTGACACTGCCAAGTTTATGCCCCCTTAGGTTAACCCTTTGCGATGCAAATGTTTGCTAACTAGACAACAAGAGCTTATCTATGCACTTGGCATATTGCCTCCATGGAATTCGAACTTTAGAAAATATGAGGAAACTGACACAAAGAAGTTCTTTGATTCAAGACACAGATCCTTAAATTGAACTGAGAGTGTAAATCATCCTCCATCTGATCCTAACTCTTTTTTAACCCAAAGATAAACCCAGGGGGCAAGGCTGAGCAACACACTTACAAGACTGACCCTAACTTCTCCATCTAGTTCAGTCAAAATTCATAATCTCCAACAGCTAGTACAAAGTTGCTTGTACCAACTCTAGGCCATATCGGACGTCATTTAAGCAAGTTACTAGCGTGGAATAAGACCAATGCTATCTCAGACCCAGGAATCAGAATAAGGTCTTAGAAATCCCTTCATTCCACCAAGTGAAACTACTGCTGCATCAGCCACCCACAATGATATCATACTTACTGCTCTCAGATTGCTAAAAAGTAAAAACAAATAACTTGCTTATCCTTAAACATTCTGTAGAAACATCAAACATGAGGCTTTCCAAACAGATCATATGATCAAGAATGAGAAAAGGGCTATCCACTAAGAAAAAGGCTGCCTTCAAAAGTTAATACACCTTGTTCCACAAGTTATTAGCTGACTGAATAAAATCCAGGTTACATGAATTAGGAGGAGAAAAGAGTGCGAAAGAAACCATCCTTCCATCTAACCAAGCATACTACTGCGGGAATCTAATAATTGAACACGATTAGAGTGTACATGGACTGATTTTTCTACAATGGCAAAGCAAGATGAAGGACGAAGTGCATGAGCATATTCTAACAAGCAATGACAATGGCATATGCTTCACAACCTTTGCATCCCCTCATTATTGTATACGACCAGGCTGAAGCTTCCAATATAATGCACACTTTGGTAAGATCGTACTAAGTAGTAGTATGTAATATGACAAGAATAGTAATGCAAGAGAGCTGGCACAACACTCAATTAAGACATAGTTCAATATGATGTTGCCTTTTCTCTTTTGTTCCTGTCCAGTCCACTTGTCTTAGCCATTTGTACTTATGCTCCCTAGGTAATAAGATAAATGGAAGGAACAGCTAAGAAAGCAAATCTTGGCAATGCTTAATTTGCTCGTTTGAAGGACTAGTTGGGAGCACAGAAACCAGGGAAAAACAACATCTTAAGTATGAAGATTTAATCGCAACTTGACGATCGGACAAAGATTCATGCCTAAATCAACCTACCAAAAGAGAAAAACTTTCAGTTCCTCCTTTCATAGCTCCCCCAAACAGTAATGAAGAAATTGGAAAACAAGTAACCAAGCAGCTAGGTACCCTAAACAATGAAATTGATGCACCGACCGTCTATATTGTGCTTACAATTACCATCTATATTTCTGCAATCAACTTTTGCCTAGTCAAATACAGTGTCTAAGTTGGGCATCGAGTGCCTACATGCACAAAAGCAATAGAATCACAAAACCTCAACTTTACATTGAATGACAGAATATGAGTAGCCAGAGGCACAAAGGATTATCTAGTTTGATTCTTTTCTCCTAAACTTCTGACAGCATCATAAGAACAAGAGATTATTTTTGTATGCGGATCACGAGAATCAATTCATTCTTATCAGTTGATTAGACAAAGTACACTGATTTGATTTGCGCAAATGATAGAGCAGATGTTCTCCTCGAATCAGCAAATTCACAATGCATCAACCCAGACCTTCCCACCAACTGTGGTTGGGACCAGTTGCTATGAATTATAATCAGAGGGGAGAAAAACATCAACATGTCTTTAAGCAATTATTGCCCGAGAAACGAAAGGCAATTATTGAAACGATAAAATCACAGATTTGAACAGAAAAAAAGCACAAAACGTCGATCCCTTAGAACTTTTGACTTCTCTACCGCCAGATGAACAATCACAAGATAGTAACTTTCAACTCCCAAATTAGTTCCTTACAAAAAACCTAGAAATATTCGAGTATCGATCATGGCTCCGAGACAAACCTAGAAATCAACCCAATCCCAGAAAATTGAACAAGCGCATTTTGCTTACCTCTTCCCTCATTTCTGGTAGCCACCGCCTCGGGTGTTGATATCCTCCTCCATCGCTCCCGTCAAATAAACGGGAGGGAAATCGGCAACCCCGAAGGTCTGCTCCTTCATCATCTTAACAACATCGGCCTTCTTCAAAACCGTGCGCTTGATCGGTGGACGGTTCCGGCGCTGATCCCTTGTGTGGTACTTGATGTCGAAAACGGTTTCAGGTTCGGAGGTGGGCACGATGGCCTTCAGCTTGGTTGTGGCGGGGCACTCAAGGCGATACTCAGTGGCTTTCGGGATGGCATGCTTGTATTCCGGGTCCGCGCAAGGTCCCGTTATCTCCCATGGCTTTTTAATGTAGCGACGGAGAGTTTGGAGGAGAGTGGCTCCGGCGGCAGACGCGGGTTTCGCCATCTGTGGATGGATGCTGAGATCGTCGGGAGAGAGAGATGTTGGCTGGAGCGACCGGAATGCGGAGGATGAAAGTGAAACAACTAGTCCATCCACAATTTGGGGGTTACGATTCAGATTTTTAGGGGTAATTTTGAAAGAGCCAAGGTTGTCAATCCGGCCAGTGTGTCGATTTAGCAGGTGGAATGGTTCGACCGGTGGCACATAGTGGTTTGTGCCGGTTTATGCCGTCAATATTACAAATAAAATTATAAATATTCATATTTAAACATGACATTTAACGTCAATAGTTAAACATTTATACTTGAATCCAACAAATTACATCAATATTTAACTTTTATACTCATAAAATAAATAATAAAATTATTTCTATCAATTAAACTCACTAAAATAAGGCCATTTTACTTAGAGATTCATATATATCGAGTACTACCAAAAAAAAAAAAAAAGAGATTCATATATCGATCATGCCGGTCATATCGATGGTGTCACGCCGGTTTTATGACCGGTATCGGTTGAACCAAATTCAACCGTGGCACGCCGGCCGGCGTGACAACCATGAAAGAGCCCAAAGAATTTTTTTTATACTATGGATCACTTGTATTATCAAGAAATAATAAGTTAAACAATCTGAAACCATCCAGAATTTTCTCCTTTGCAGCCATGATGCTTCTCGAGATGAAGCTAGGTTTATATCCAGTCTTAGCATTGAGAACATCATATTTTGGAAAATAGCTGGCTTTTAGAGTTCTTGTCATCAGTGAGTTGGGTCGAGAAAAGATTTTCCAAACTTGCTTCCCTAGCATAGCAAGATTGAAGGTGCGCAGATCCCTAGAGCCCATCCCACCATATTCCTTTTCGTCACACAGTTCCTCGGTTTCAGATGGCGTGTGGGTGATGGGGAATCAATTCGGGTTTGGGAGGATGCCTGGATCCCAGGTAAAAGCTATTTTTTCGCTGACCCTCAACCCGCCGGGATGGATTCGGATGAGCTGGTGTCTTCCCTGATTTATAAAGATAGTGGAGCTTGGGACGAAAGTAAGCTGAGGGATAAGTTTTCTCAGCTGGACTATGGGTTCATTTCAAAAATACCCTTGCGAACCCCCCTGTGCAGGGATGAGAGGGTGTGGACTGACACTGATGATGGTAACTATTCTGTCAAATCTGCCTATTGCAGGATTCGCGAGAACCAGGGCATCAATTCTACCTATTCTTTATCTCTCTCAGAGGATGAAACGGAGTTCTGGAAGGCTCTCTGGAAAACTCACATTCCACGTAAGGTTCGAATTTTTCTATGAAAATATGGAAGAGGAATCTTACCGGTTGGCTGCCATATCGAGGAATGGATTGACGAAGCCAGCACTGACTGCCCTTTCTGTGGGCTCCCAGAGACCCAGCTCCATGCCCTCCGGGAGTGTAGTTGGATCATACATCGTTGGCAGGCATGGGAAGGAAAACAAATGTTTGAGTATGGGGAAGGTAAATCGTGTTTTGCATGGTTAAAGGAATATATGGAAAACTTCTACTACTGAGCAAATTCAGAAGTTTAGTGTGGTTTTATGGTACCTGTGGAAGGAGAGGTGTAACCACCGAAATAACAACCACAAGATCGATGAAGATCTGGTCATCACCAAAGCTCTAGGTTGGCTGCAATCTTTCCTCGAAGCTCATTCACCTACTCCCCGCAATGGAGTCGTGCTTCACGGATGGAACCCTCCCCCAGATGGAGTCTTCAAGTTGAATTCTGATGCCGGCATTTTCGGGCAGACGGGAGTGGGTTTTGGGTGTGTGATCAGGGATTCAAGAGGAAACTTCTGTGGAGCTACTGCGAAGAAGCAGAAGGGGATCTGCAGACCCATTGAAGCCGAGGAAAAGGCGATTATGATGGGGATCCGTGAAGCAAACCGAAGAGAGTTCAGCCCGCTGATTGTGGAAACTGACTGTCAGAAGCTCATTAACAAGCTTGCGAAGGAGTAGAGTGATTCCACCAAGCTGGGCACCTGGTGTGATGAGATCAGAAGGTTGGCGAAGGTGAATGAGGGTCTATCGGGTGGTTCGACGATCTGGAGCTTTACTCCAAGGAAAAAAAATTCCCCAGCTCACTGGTTGTCTCATTCCATTTACTGTTGGGATAGACAGTTTGTGTGGGTGGATGATCCCCCATTATCTCTTCTTTGTGTATTGCAGGCCGATTTGGGCCAGGCCCAGTTTGGACAAAGTTGATTTTTGAATGAGAAGCCTACATGTTACCATAAAAAAAAAGAAATAATAAGTTAAACAATCAAACATCCGTAGAGAGCTAGGTACCGAAATCAACCCATTATAACCTATAGGAAACAAAAAGAGGGCATTTCTAGCCATACTATGGACTACTTTATTGTTGTGCCCACCAACAAACCGAACCTGGAACTCCAGGTACTTAATTACCTACTTGCGGATTTCCTCATAAATTGCCCCTCTATTACAATCCCAAGTGATACCTCCTTGAACATTGTCCAAAATGACCTTTGCATCACCCATAATTCTAGCCTAGAGCACTCCAGTTTCTACTTAGGTAACCAGAGCGTGGGGCGAGAGAGGGAACGGGAACGAGAACGAGAGTGTCAGAGCGTCAATTTTTAAAGAATTTAGTATTAAGAGCGTGAACAGAGCGTTAATATTATAATATTTTAAATTATTTTTAAATGTATTTAAACCAAAAACACTATTTTTACGATAAAAGTATAAGAAAAAAAATACAACAAAGAATAATTTATAACGAAAGGATACAAATATACATCTCTCCTATACAATTAGTCATGTAGACTCCCACCGCAATTGGACTTTGTGTTTTGCACTTGTGGGCCGGTAATTTTACCATTCGAATTCTAAAGAGACAACCAAAGGGCTGAGGCCCATACGGTACCAATCAAACAAAACAAAAAGATTGCAAATTTGCAATCCCTTTATCTTCCCTACCAACAAGGCAACAATCCCTGAACTGTATCTACTTTTTGGGGAGAAGTTATCAACCTTTATAGAGAGCACTAATCCTTTATAGCCTCCATCATTCAGTCATTCTAAGAAAAAAAAAAAATATTGGACTCATCTTCTTACAATGCTTATTCTCTTCTCAATTCTCATCTTGTTCCTCTTTTGTCTTATGGATCTGATTTCCCTTTTCCAAAATTTTTATCTTTGCATGCATATATAAAATTTAGATCCATCATCATATGATGCGCTCCCTGCAGCCTCTGTCGCATGTCCGCTCGTGGCCTCCGTCTCACCATCTCCTCAATTTCCCAGGTTAGTGATAACCCCTGTTCTCAAGTACACAAAACAGAGCAGCAGCAGGAAAAACATGGTAAATCATCGCCGACTAGAGAAAGCTTTACATAACCCAATCTATTACCGATACTTTGGAGCTTCTCCAACCTCTTGCCGCCTCCTATATACCGAAACTTGAAGAATTCACGTTCTATAGAATCGAAGTCACACTACTAACATAAATAATTCACGAATTTGCGGCAAATTCCCGAAAAATTGCATTTTGCCGCTTTAGAGCGGGATTGTGGGACCTAAACCCATGGATTGGGCGACCTAAGTTTCTACACACAAGTGAATAACTTCCCGTAGTGCTAGTAATTCAGCTATCGCCGGATCCACAATCCCATCAAACAACATTCCCTTAGCTCGCACCCCCTCCTAGTAGAATCTCTCAACACCACACCCCAATTGGATGCAAGCCACTACAAGTTGCACCATCAAAGGAACACACCGCATGTTCTTAACCCTGCTCTGCCATGTCTGAATTCACACTGCCGCCAAGTCTCCCACTTTGCAGTCGCACACGACCTGTCAGGGTCGTACCCTCCATCCACTCTGCCACCTCCGCCTTAAAATTGTTGCACTAGAACCTTACCCATGACCTGCATGCCCTAAGAAACCACCAAATTTCTAGCTTTCCAAATACGCCGCAAGAGGCAGACAACCTAACCGCACGACTAGTAGAAGCATCCCTAGCCAGATATCGCCCGCGAAAAATCGAGAAATTCTCCTGAGGCACCCAACACAACCTTCACTCTTAGCCTACCTCATCCCACAGCTTTCGTGCCACCAGACACTCCAAAAACAGTTTTTCAGGGTCTCCTCCTCAACCCAACAAACAGGGCATCTATCCAAAATTGAGACTTCCCTTCGCAGCAGAGCCTCCGTTATTGGCAAGATCTTACTGAGAATCTGCCACAAAAAATTTTTTCGCTTCGGCTAAATTAGCATATTCCAGATCTGCTTCCAAAACACCTAATCCACCAAACAGACCTCGTGCCTCTACCTCCCCTTGTGTCGATCAATCAGCGCCTTTAACCACATCTCACCGTGTATTTGCCATATGAATCACTCCGCAAGACCAATCTTTCCGTCAAAGCCGTGCGAGGCAATAGGATGGCCTGAATTGCCCGCACCATCCTCTCAAAAAATCAATCGGAAAGACAATACATACACCAAGAACTATTGCCCGCCTTGCGTGGCATAGAATCTGTCTCCAGTCCTGACAAGAGAACGTCGTCCATAATCTCAGGAGCCCCTGGATACAACCCAAGGATCCACCTCCTAGACCGGATCAAAATAGGCTCTCTCAATCCCACATGCCAACACAACCCCTCTTTTAGCAACTCACAACCATGGAGGATACTCTGCCATCCCCAAGAAGGCGGAGACCCCATCCCCGCCTCTAGGATTGATCCATTTGAGAAATCTTTTCCTCTATAAACCTGAGCAAGTAGAGAATCAGGTTGCAATAGGATCCTCCAAGTCACTTTAGCCAAAAGAGCTTGATGGAAGAGCTCAAATCGGTGGAAGCCTAGCCCCCCGTCGCTTACTATTACACAAAGAATTAAACTCCTTTCTCACTTTCTTTTACGGTCGATTTCTTTCACTCACTATGCGCCCTCTGATACTATTTCTCTAAGGGGTCATTTCCTTAATGGATTTTAAAAATGCGGGTTTTGATAACTCCTTACCTTGACTGTTCCCTCTCACACTCCCTTTGTCGCTCTCTCACCACCACAAGATCAAACAAGTCACTCATTTGCCGCTCTCTGCTCTCTCTCACCGCCACTAGAATATTCGTCTAATCA